GTTATCTCCGACATTGGTGACCTTTGGTCCTCGACATTTTGATCTTGTTATATGACATTCTGGACTACCATTTTGGAGACCTACCAGACTCTATCTTGTGACCTATCGGTGTGATCTACCTCCTACCTCCTTCGTCTCTCCTCCCACCTTTCATCTGTGTATGTGTGTACGGGATCTGGGTATCGTCTATGAATGACCCAGACCCCACCATCTCATGATTGTATGTGTGTGGAGTGATGCCATGTAGGTCAGTCTATGTGAGTCAGTCTATGTGAGTCAGTTCGTTATCAGACTTCCGCTGCATAAATGCTCATCCTATATTGGTTGATCTTTGGTTCTGCCCATACTCATTGAAGTATGTAACATCATTCTAGGTGTGTACTATTATGGGTTCGAAAATAAAAATAAATAAGAAGTAAAAAAAATATGGGTTAAAAAAATGCACAAAAAAATAAAGGGACATTTTGGACATTTAAAAAAAAAAAAAATCTCATTTTTAAGTTTTTAACTAAATGGAGTTTAATGGGGGTTAATGTAACGAAGTGTTGGCAATCAATGTGATTGTGAATTTGTGATTCCTTTCCTCTTTTTTTTCGTTGAAACAGGGTCCGTGCTGAGCTTGTTGAAATAATGGGGTTCTGGTCCCTCTGGAAGAACTTAAACCACCAGTACCTACCACTTGTGGCGGTCGTTAACGCGGAAGCCGAATCGGCCTGCCCCTCCGGTCCAAATTCATTCGAGGTTGGGGGTTACGGAAAATGTGGTAGGTACTGGTGGTTTAAGGTTCAATGATGGACACCTCTGTCTGACCCTAATGCGCCAGAAGATAGGAGCATCATTATGTTCTGTGTATCGTACAGTAATAGATTGCCTTATTCCCCCAAATAGAATATACAGTCACTTTCTCTGCATCTGGACAGAATGGTGAGCCAGATACCGGCCATAATGACGGTACATTTTGTTCGGTGGAAGATGGTACAAGCTTTGTGAATGTGTTGTTAAGCAGAAGCTATTATCTTTATCATGAATTATAAGATAAGCAGCCACTATCCATTTGAACTACCGTCTTCACCCGGGAATAGAATGCCCACCGGTGGCCGCTCATTATACCTGTATTTGATGCAACTTTCAGTCTAGATGCAGCGATAATGACCGGTCGTTTCATTCGGGTGAAGACACAAGAAGACTAACGGATAGAATAATAACCAGTCTCGCGGTGTGGTTTCACGAAGATTAATGCATGAAACACAAGCACACCTGGGCCTCGAGGCGCTGCGCGGAGCGCCAAATTTTGCCGAACCGGCAGCGGCGCGCACTTTTTTTTTTTTTTTTTTGGTGTCGCCAGCCATTGGGGTCCGGTATGCCCGATGCGCAAAAATTTTCGGAGTAGGCGATGAACAAATTTCTCTACAAGGCTGGGGCCTTTTACCGGCGGTTCCAGGTCTTCATGATCGGTTAAGTGCACAGTTGAGGCACATGTTCCTTTCGGACCCCTTTTTTTTTATTCGATTTTCTCATAGAAACCATATACAAGTCAAAGAGGTAGAAAACCGTACATTGTTTGCTGCTCTAATTTTTTTTTTTTTAATTATATATATATATTTTTATGCTGCTCTAGTTTCTAATTACTAATTACTCGTAAATTCGTAATTAGTACTTTGAATTAATTTCTAATTCCTGTTCTAATTATTGGAATGCAATGGCCGCTTTGGGGGGCTTTCTTGCCATTTGGTGGGTTGTGCAGCTATGCGACCAGGAAGACAAGACGCGTGCTTGGTCGGGCTCTGCCATCCAGTTTACGGATTCATCCTTTGCTCTTTTTGAGGACAATACAGATTGGCTGCTGGAAACATCCGTCGACACATCCAAAGCCTCATGAAAGCTACAGGTTGTTTATGTTTACCCATAGAACGCTACCCCTCCCGTTTTATTTACTTGTTTGTTTATTTGTTTATTCATTATGTATCTAGGCTACCATAGTGACCTGGGGTCAGTTGCCCGGCCGGGCCAAAACCATAAAAAAAAAAAAAAAAAAAAAAAAAAGATTTTTAAAGTTTATTTTTTATTTTAAATTTGGTGAAGAATTTCGATGTGACCCTGAGGCAAAAGTTGTTCAGTTTATTTTTCTGCATAACATAGTTATTTTGTGGATTTTTTGGATGTTTTTTGTTTTTTGTTTTTGTTTGCTGGGACCTTCCCTGGTCCTTGCACGGGCTGGCCACCCGGGACCCGGGCGGCCCGACTGGTAGCCTAGTTATGTATGTATTTACTATCGACTATTTTTGCTTTTTCATTTATTTAGTTATTTATTATTTGTTTATTTATTGCCCCGCCCTTACCAGGGGTTGTTTGTCGGTTCCTGACTGCATCAGTGCGCCCTCGGACATAAGAGATGGCAGTTGCACATTTGTCTGTCTAGTGGTTTCTATATCTGGTTGCGGATACGAAAGGAATGAGGCTAAATGAGAATTGGCAGGAGAACTTTATCGTCTGAAATAAAATAGTAAATTATATTAATAAATTACTAAACGAATGAATTAATGATAATAAATTGATAAAATAAATAAGAAATTAATACATTAATGAAATAAATATTGTAAATAATAAAATAAATAATAAGTTAATAAAATAATAAAATAATTAATAATTTTCATAAATTAGTAAACTTATCTGCACCTCTCTTGTCTATTTTCCCTATGATGGTTGAAAACTCCAAAAGGGATGAGGATTGGCAGGAGAACTTAATCGTTCGAAAGAAAATAATAAATAATAAATAATAATTAATAAATTAATATTATTTTAATAATTAATAAACTAATGAATTAATAAATCAATAAATTAATAAATAACTTATCTGCAGCTTTCTTGTCTGTTTTCCCTGTGGTGGTTGCACGCTCCAAAAGGGATGAGGATTGGCAGGAGAACGACGGCGCGCTCAACACAATCTCCATGCTCTATCCGAAACTGCCGGAAGAGCACCCTCATTACCCGCTGAACCAGGTGGACCTGTCAGAGAGTGGAGCGCATGAGCGAGAATTGCGCCTTAAGCCCGGCATCTGGTGAGTTCTTTTTCTTTTTGTTTTGTTTTTCGGACTTTTTCCTTTTCCATTCTTAGCTGTTTCTCCAGGCCCGCACTTTGGCCCAACCTGACCTGTCAGATCTGCATACCATCCAGATGTCATTACCCACCTCATCATTTTCATACATAGCGTTCACGCCGCGGATGGTTTTGGATGAGTCGGCCTAGTGGAGAGCTCGCAACCACCCCTGAATGTGTGAATATACCTCTCTCTCTCTCTCTCTCTCTCTCTCTCTCTCTCTCTCTCTCTCTCTCTCTCTCTCTCTCTCTCTCTCTCTCTTTTTGTGGGGTGGTTTATGGGGTCTGTTACCGTCTGTATCAACTGCGAGCATGGATTGGAGGCTGTGCAGAACTAACAGCGTTCCGCCATAGCGGTTGCAGTAAAAGGGAGCGAGTCTTAAAACATGAGTACATCCGAGCCTCTTTTTTTTTGGCGAGGTGGATTCCTCCTGTGCGCTGAGGTTAGTGGAAATGCCACCACGACGCATTTTGATTTCTTTTGGGTGGCGCCACCAGCGATTTTGGTCCGGTAGCCCTGCTGGGCCTCCAAATTTTTTAGATTGGCTCAATTTCGATTCTCGTGTTTGCCTAAGGTGATGTACTACTGTCAAGTTAAGATTCTTATGTTTGGATTGGCTCAATTTTCGATTTTCATGTTTGCCTCCAAATTCTTTTGGTTAGTGGAAAATTGGAAATGCCACCCCGTCACATTTTCATTTCTTTTGGGTGGCGCCGCCAGCGATTTTGGTCCGGTAGCCCTGCTGGGCCTCCAAATTTTTTGGATTGGCATTGGCTCAATTTCTATTCTGCCGACGTGACCGATGTCACGAATCCCTGGCCCTGAATTATACTGCGCATCAGGTGCAGGTGGTAAGGGCAGAATTGTATTTCCACTCCCTGCAATGAGTGATTGCGAGTGTGATCGGTATTCAAAAACTGCAATGGTTGGTGGCAGTTTTTTTTTTTCTGTTTTGTTTTTCCACCCCCCCCCGCAGACTCGTTGTCGCTCCTCCGTGCTGCTATTGAACCCCATACCACACGCCCCCTTGTATGCCAGTCTCCACTACCTACCTACCTATCTATCCCAGGGGGTATATTTCTTAGCAGAGTTAACACTAACCTCCACCCATGCCTAAGCACCACGGCGGAGTAATCTTAGTCCACTACCGTCTTCACCCGAATACAACGTACGGCGATTATTGCTGTATCTAGACTCAAAGTTGCCCCAAATACAGCTATAATGACCGTACATTGTATTCGGGGCAAGACAGTAGGGTAAGGCCTAACCCCCAGCAAGTCGTACCATGAATCGCCCATCTGGTACCAAGACCAGCCAGGGGGGCCAAGCTGACCATCTCAGCTGGTCGTGGGTTCGATTCCCCACGTCTTCCATTCGAATCCCCAACGGCCTCCTGCGGCACGATAGCGCGCTTTCGTTCTAGTTGTAACTATGCGCAAAAACGTTTTTGGCCCATAGTGTATAGGGGGGAATCATCACATCATACGTGTATGGGGGCAGAAAAAATTGGAGGGGGGAGGGGGGGGGGACAAAGAAAGGACGGTGAAGCTTCTGGCAACAAGTCTTTGGTCATTATTTAACAATATAAATATTATAAAGCAATAACATGAATAAAATAAACTATTTTGTTTTGCGTACTTTGAGGCTTTTGCTTACTCCGTATTTCGAACCAATTTGAGGTTTTGTATTTGTCGCTGTTATGATCATATGATGTTATCTCTGACTGATTGTTATTACTGCGGCTGTGGTTGTTCGATGGTTGGCTGTCGGGCTTTGCATTGAATTGCGGAATGGGATTGTATTTTTATTCCAGGTATTATACAATGCTGAATGTGGACCACATCCATTTTATCATAAATCGCCGAAGGGCCGGCGTAAAGCATGATATGCTCTACGACTCTATCTTTCGCCGTTGTCGCAAGCAATTTCTGAGGGCAGCAATTGGCTCTCTTGAGTCGTCTTCGTGCGTGTGCATGGATGAATCTGAGTCGGAGTGCCTTGTTCCTTGAGAGCGCAATGGTGGGTTACCTGTCAAAGGACAGCAGCGGCCTTTCTTGAAAGACTATGTTTTTTTTTTTAAGATGTTTTTTTTTTTTTAAGGAGGGGAGAGAGAGGAGAGAGAGGAGGAGGTGAAGAGGAGAGGGTGGGGAGTGGGGCACGGGGATGGGTGTGCGCTGCTGTTGAATCGGGTGGGGTCTTCTTGATGCGTGTGTGGATGAATTTTCTCCAAGTTTCACTTTCAGGTTCGTTAACTCCTGTCGAAAGGGGTTGGTTTGTCGTTTTCCCTTTTCCTGTTTTTGTGGAGACAAAAAAAAGAGGCAGAGAGAGGCTTGTGTTCGAGGAGCACAGATGGGGAAGTGAAGGGGGCAGAGAGGTAAGATAGGCTATTTTTGTGGAGAAATCTGCTATTGCGTGCGAGGGGAAGGGGCCAGAGAGGAGGGATAGGAAGCTATTTGGGAGAAATCTCCTACTGCGTGCGAGGTGAAGAGGGGCAGAGATGAGGGATAGGCACAGAGATGGGGTAGAGGGAGTCTCATGTGCAGAAATATGCTATTGGAGTTTGTATTGGTGGCGAAGCAGATGCAGAGGAGAATGCAGAGGAGAAGTTGGAAGGAAGAAAGAACGTCTAAATGGGCATAGAGATCGGAAAGCGATATAAACTGACTGTATCATCCAGTTTTCAGTTAATTGTTCGAAAGGTCGAATGGTGGACACCCGCCGCACTATATCATTATTGGGAAAGAGAGTTTCAAAACCATTAGGAAAAGAAACGTTGACGGTGACAGTACACGGAGATTACATGGTATCGTGTGGAGTAGGGAGAAAAAAGGGGTGGTTCAGGGGGGGGACTTAGCAAGGGGGGAAGAGAGTGTGGTTGGCGGGGGGGGGGGGAGAGAGAGCAGGTGGCGGGTTGAGGGGGGTATATGATGGACGATCTCCCAGTTCGGTGTGGAACTGTTAGTGAGCGAGAAGTGTGTAATCTCTGCCACGGGCCCACGACAGCTTTTTGTGGCGAGAGGAGGCAGGACCATTTCATGGGGAGTTTATCAGGCATGGCCTACCGGTCGCGTTTTATGGAAGATGGCTGTTTTCCATGTTAAGACGACTGTTTCGCATCGCATGTGCTATGTCCGCCGGTCGTGCGTTTTATGGACATGGCCGTGACGGAAAAGATGGATGATTTTGAGAAACATAATTTGCCGACATTGTAATTTGCCGTACTTGTGTATATATATAGATATAGATATATACATATATAGACTATATAGTATATATAGTATACAGGGACGGAAAGAGTTCATTGATGATTGGGAGTTCTGCGACAGCTACGGCCGCTGAAGAAGTGAAAAAGGGGTATCCTTTTCATTCCATGGTGTGTTGGGGGCCTGTATGGGCACATCTCGGTCGTTGTCATTTGATGAGCGAAGTGGAGGACGCATGGAGTATAGAAGAGGACTTCTGTAGTCAGCTAAGATTCTCAGATGAAATGCCGGTAGTATTTTTCGGCCAGAAACGGCGAGAGACGGCGAGTGATGGCGACAAACGGCGAGAAATGGAAATTTGCAGCAGCTATCAGTAGTACTGTTCAGCCCATAATTCATGAACACGTCAGCTGGATTTTTTTTTTACTGTTGCATCTTGAGCAGAGGAGTGGGTTTTGTGACTTGGCAGCCTGTGGCATTGTGCATGCTGCGGAGATCGAGGGGTAGGGAACGTGGGGAGAGAGAGAATGGGGTGCACGGTTCCATGTTTGTGAGCTTAGGACAGGAGAGGTCGGGAGGGAGAGGAGGATGGGATAGAAGAAGACAATTTCTTTTTTTTTTTCTTTGGTCCCAGCGGTGCCGTGAATGCAACGTCGGATTTTTGGTTTTATAATTTTTTGGGGGGGTTGGAGTCGCGCCTGGAACGGACGGATGACGTTAGGCCACCAGAATGGTCTGCGTTCTCTCCATGCATTCGACAAAACAGCATGCGATATCGTGGCGCCGAGAAAGTGAGGGGGGGGGGGGTGTCCGACAAGTGCTGTCCCTCGTCCCTCCCTTTGGAGGATTTCTCTCTCCTGCCACCCAAGCGAAGCGATGCCTCTTGAATGACAAGCGGCATCGCTTGGATGCATTGAATGGCGTTTGCCATATTCTTTTTGACAGTTTTTGTGATGTGAAAAGGACTCGTTGGTAGGAGTTTTGCCGTAGCAATGAAGGGCTAGCTGGTGAGCCAACAAGCAAAAGAAGTTGTTGCCCCTATTCTATATTCCGGAAATTGTTGAGTTTGCTTTCTGTGTGCAGCAGCTTCCTTATTAGCTTCTGTTTTTGGTTACAAAACATCTCAAAAATTAGTAAAAATCTAAAAGTACGTGAAAAGCCTCGTTGCGGAGTGTTGATTGGTTGATGGGTCTCCAAACCTCTGCAACCAATAGTACGTTAGAAACTTGAAAAAGCGCAGAACGTTTTTTTTTTTTTTTTTTTTTTTTTTTTTTTTTTTTAATAAAAAATGATAAGAGCACCCCCTTCTGGCAAGAGACCTGGTAGGAGTCCGTAGGACACATTTTGGAGTTGTGAAAGTGATCCTGAAATTTTGGGTGGGTGGGTGGGTGGGTGGGTGGGCCGGGGACGAGGGAGGGAGGCTGCACAGCGACACGCGAAGGCACTCAACCGAGAAGGGCTATGTATGTTTTCGGAAGCACGTAGCAGGGGCAAGCGGCAGGCGGCCGTGGGCTGGTAAACCCCAAACAAACACATCAAGGCCTGAAAATAACATACCCATGGACACACCAAAGACCAACGCCCAGAGAATATGTCAATGAGGGCACAACACTTCGTGTGTCGTCTTACGCATGGCTGTCTCTTGCCAAGATCTGGGTGGCCTCGCGTTGGGTTTTGGCGCCGAAGTGGCGCGCTCACCGCGGGAACTCCCAGAAAAAGATTCTGGCCTGTTTGGAGGCCAAAGAAAAAACCTTGCCGCGCAACCTCTACCTACATAAGTGCAGGTGCAGCAGTAACTGTCGCAAGCCCTGCAGGCGGAAAACCTTCATCAACTGTACCACCTGCCAGCTAATCGTCCTGAGTGTGTGTGTGTGTGTGTGTGTGTGTGTGTGTGTGCGTGTGTGTGTGTGTGTGTGTGTGTGTGTGTGTGTGTGTGTG